TTGGTTTGCCATTTTTATGCAACAACTTATTAGTTCAGAAGATTCTGATTATAAAACACAATGTGGAGAGAGGGTTAGTGAGCCATCCAGAAAAAATGATGAACTGGAAGAGAAATGCTCCCTCTCCTCCCCCAGAAATAGTGAAGGCAGTATCCAAACTGCTGCTTTAACAACCACATAGCAGCCAAAGAGAAGATCTCCCTTTCCAGCTGAGCTAGGAGAGCTTGCTGTAAAACCCACATTCCCAGTATCTCTGATAGCAGTATTACAGAAATTCCTACTGGTAGGTCAACATATTTTCACTGTCCCCCATCAAAGCTTTGCTCTCTATATTTGATTCAAATGATTGATTCTGCCTTTTCAGACTCTCAAAGTTTCCTTACTCTGGGCTTGTACAAATCCTAATGGCCTTTTTTTCATCTCAGGGAAGATGCTAGACACCAAAAGAATAAACTGAGTGAGCAGGTGCATGTGCTAACTAAACTGTTATTAGATAAAAGATGTAGAGTTACCAACTTGTCTGTAAGGCACTGCAGAATCAAATTACAGCAGCTATTCAGGCTGGAAGCACTCAGCTAGCCTGCGCATTATCTTAAGGCTGGAACATGATTGAATAGTCATTTTCTGAAGAGCAAAATAACTTGCTTGACATGGGATTCTTTTCTTCCCTTTCTTGGAACTCGCTCAATCACATTAGCTTCTTTTATGCCTAAATGGGATGGTTTTAGGTTATGAAATGTGATTGTTCACACTGGAATAATAACGCTAGGAATCTAAGTCTATTTAGTCTTTAAAGCTGATCAGCTTATCGCTGTCCAACACAAAGGATTCAGAAATCAGATATCTGAATGAGCTGAATACACTGAAGAAATGGTAAGAGATTCAAAGCTAACGGGGTGGTCTTGACTAATTCTCTCAAACTCGAGATTTGGTCCTGGCTTCAGTAAATTATGTCAGGCAGGAAAATCAGCGTTCCCTATTCCCGTGTTTCCTAGGAGGGCAGCATCTCCTCTGGTGTCTATTTCATCCTCATTCTCCCTCCATCTGATCTTTTGTCCCATCCTTCCGTCTCCATTTTCACTGACTGCTACTCCTGTTCTCGTAGCAGTGATTTCAGGGCTCCTCCCGTGATGATTCCTCCTGTGCTGCACCTGTCAGTAGTTATGCTGCTGTTCAACAAAATGTGTCGTTTTCTCAGTTCCTCGTGCCTGTATGCAAGCAAGGGCAGTAGGCCAGCAGAGAGAAAGGCAGAACACTGAGGTACATGCAGTTCTGGACCCTAATGTTGGCACTAAGATGAGGAAGGAAGCAGGCTATCATCTTGCCCTTGCAGTGCTGAGCAGGATATGAAAGAGACCTGCATGCAAAGTCACTCCATTGCCCCAGTCCTCCCACCTGTCCCATGCCCCAGGCCCTCTCACACACTGGCTTCAAAGCAAAGTGTAATGACTCTAAAAGAAAATACGCTAGAGTCAAATGAAAACTATGTAAATATGTCCAATATTATTACATGAAAGAAAATTTGTTATATCAACATTGCTTTTAATAGTAGGATGCAGACTGAGTTAAGAACCCTGTGGATTGATATTTTCCTCTGCTTCTCCCTACCTTTTTTTCCTCCATTTCCACTCATCATTTCTGCTCATGTATTTCATTCAAAGGCAAAGAACCAAAAAAAGACACCAATGAGATTGTTCAGCTGCCAAATTTAAATCACCATCTGAATATAATCTGATTTTTCACTGAAGATATGAAAGTTTGAGGTTCAGCTGGGCTGTGGAATGGGAAATGTCCCAAAAGCTTGCAAGAGGCTACCAAAGGGAAAAATACATACTGTCTGTACAGAAATAGTAAAAACATCAGCTGTGCATTCTCAGTTGCCTAATCTTGGAGCAATCAGACAGAATTCTCTTGAAATACCAAAAGATGCACGAAATATCTTAAAATATAGCAATAGCAAAGTATGTTTAAAAGGGTGCTAAAGGTAATGGAACAAAAATTGAGGTTTTTTCCTCAGTAAATCTTTCCAACATTCTCGTTCATTAAGCATACGTTGCCCTCAACAGTAATGAGGTAACAACGGAACTGTGGGCAGTGAATGTTCTGTTTCAAATTTCCTGGCCCAGGTTACAGGGAACATAACTGTTATCATTAGTATTTGTCTTCCATCAACATCTGTATTTTTTTTCTTTTATTTCTTTGTTGTTGCTGTTGTTTTGTCTGTTTTTGACATACTGTCCTCCATGAAAAGCAAATGACAAATAAGATCAGGACGAGGTTTCATCTAATAGCCCTTTTGGTTATTCTTCTTTTGGGGCATCTCACTAAAAGTAATGTGTTCCCAAGGGAAAGGATAACGATGTGTTCAAATGCTCCCAAGGAGATGGCTGCTGCCAGATAACCAACTGATTTTTCCCTGACTCGCTGAAACATTCTTTTCTGGAGGTTCAGGTGTTGTTTAGATCAGAAGGATGTTCTGGAGGGCAAGGCAGCTGAACAGTCTTTGAACAGCCCCCCTTTTTTTCTTTTCTGATCCGAACCAAATAATTCTGAAGATGATTAAACGTCAATGCATAACTACAGAATTGATGGGAGGTGGCAGGTTTTGCATTTGCAAGTAAGAATTACTTGTTGCAACACTAGATAAACAGGCTACACTGCATTGTAGAAATCAACTAGACAGAGCCTTCAGTGAATTTGATAGCAAATAGTTTTTTAGATCCATAATGAGTTTGATTTGGATCTATGTAGACAACAAAAACTAGTCCAGGTAAAAGATTTAGATGGTATCAGTTCTCATCAGATAGGACTTCCTATCAACAAGAGATAGTCACAGTTTAAAATGATTTTTCCTTCTTCATGGTGGATTAAGCATAGAGATGAAAGGTTCCATCACATAAAAGTGTAAGAAATTCTATTTACCATCAGGAATGGGTTCCACCAAACAAAGGAAAGCATAGAAAAAGTAGAAATTTTGGTAGTAACTCTTTGCCCTGGTCCTAGTTTTGGAAATCAACTTTCAATACCAGGGTTTAGAACATCAAATGCTACAACAAAGTTTAGCAAATGTGTTTTATATGAAAGCAAATCTTCTGGGGGGAAAAAAATAAATCAGAAGCTCAAGAATGAAAGGATGCAAGATTCCTAAAAGCACAGATAAAGATACAGGTTGATAGTAGCCTACGAATTGTACTGCTAGTTATGCTCCCCTGGACATGAACTGTTTTTGAGGAGGAAACCAAGGGATATGAGTGTCATACACATCAAGCCTAAATTATTCCTCAGTATAAATTTCACTGAAACAACAGCACTTCATTTGTTGGTTAACCCAGATTAGTCTGTTAGCTTTTCCAATAACGTTAGCAAGATGTGTACTGTGAGAGCCACTTCATATTACCTTTGCCTTTTTTCCATGAAAAAGAGGCACTTGTCCTGAGGAAATGTGATCTCAGCATGTGTTATTTTCCCGAGTCCGTGCATGCTTTTCACTGCCACTGCTAACTCTCATCTGGTAGCAAGAAGTGCTGATAATTACCCCGCTCAGTAATGCGTGTACCTGAGAGAAACTTCTCAACTTGGTAAGCTGCTTAGGTCATACATTTGGTTCTTAGAGATTTGTGCAGTCTTTTTGGTGACTGTGCGGCTGGCCGTGTGTCGTAAGAAATCCTAGGCTCCTTTATTAAGTGTTACCTGGATTATTTTATTTCTCATTTGTGTTCAGGAGGTTCAGTATTGGGTAGGTCTGTGTAGGAAAGACCCACCATTAAATTCTTGCCTCCTCTTCAACACAATGAGTATCGTAGACTCCGTGGTGTTTTTGCTCTGCCCACACATTACATGAATGCTGCATTTATTGACCAGTCTGCACTACTGCCACTATTAAATTCAATTGTAAATGCTTTAACACACTCGTGGCCACAGTGCGAAAGGTGAAATATAAACCTCACATCTCTCATCAAGATTATTACCCTCAGTGGTTGTATGCTTAAATGTTCACAGTTGAAGCAAAACAAAGATAAGGGTGTTTGCATTTGTGTGTTCCGAGTTTGAGCAGTAATTGACTACCATAAACTGTATCGGCTTGTGATACAACAAGCTCTTTACAAGCTCTGATGCTGTCCTTCTGTTTTGGAACCGTCGGTCCGGTATTATCATAAGGACATTTTCACCAAGAGAGCAACTTGAAACGCCTGGTGGAGCCTTCAGAAGCAGCATGTGATGGCTGTGGCACGCAGTAATAAGATGTGGGCTCCATTTTCTGCTTCAGAGCACTGCCATTTTTGGGGAAGGGTCCTTGCACTCCCACCGCCACTTTGGGAGCAGCTGCTGGGCACAGCACTGCCTGCCGGCCCCGGCTCCTCAGCTGGATGCTGGGCTGCAGGCAGAGGCGTCTCCCCTCACACCACCTGCCATCCCTGCTCCTCCATCGTTGGCAGCAGAGGACAGGAGCGGCTCAGGGCACTCGCAGGCCGTGGCCTCGCAGCCAGAGCCTCCCTCACTTAACGCGCGGTAGATAAAGCGTGAGGAGGTGGCAGGTCAAGACCCAAATATGGCGCTGAAGATATTTTTAATCAATTTCAAAACCAATTATTTTCACTTTAACAACGGCAGGCACAACTTTATCGGGCGAAAATGTGACTTTTCATCCAGCAGCGGGTGTACCGGCGCAACTGTTGCTTTGCTCACGGAGAAGGAAGCGGCGGGGCTGCCGACGGCGGCATCTCCGCACGGCGGTCGTTGGGCGTTGTGCAGCACCGGCCGCTAGGGGGCGCTGCGGCGGCGTTGGGGCGGGAGGCGGGCAGCGAGCCCACGTCCGAGTTCCCAGGGCGACGGGCGGTCGCGCCGTGACGTCAGGGTGTTTCCCGGTGACGCCGCGGCGCAGGCGCAGCGAGCGCGGCGGCGATTCTGGGTGACGTCACGGGCCGGGCGTGACGTGCGGTGGCGCGGGCCGCCGGGAGCCGGCCGGGATCTGCGCTCGCCCCCCTCCCCCTCCCACTACGGGTCGCGGCTGGGGGCGTCCCGGCGGCGGGGACGCGGATCCCCCCTCCCCCTCCCTCGCCCCTGCGCTTCGATCCAAGATGGCGGCGCTGAGCAGCGGCGGCAGCGCCGAGGGGGCCTCGCTCTTCAACGGGGACGCAGAGCCCGAGCCGCCGCCGCCCGTGCTGAGCGCCTGCTATGCCGGGAGCGGCGGCGGCGACCCGGCCATCCCGGAGGAGGTAAGACCGAGCGGCGGCTGCCGCGGGTCCCCGCCCCCTCCCGCCTCGCCGGAGCCGGCGGCCGCGGCCCGTACGGCGGCGGAGGGGATCCCCGCTCGGGGGAGGCCCCGGCCCTCCCCCTCCTCTCCGCTGGCGGGCAGAGCGCGGCGGTCTAGGGGCGGAGAGGCTCGGCGCCGCCGTCCCGCACCGAGCGCTCCGGCTGGGGCTGGCTGCCGGAGCGGGGGTGGCGGGATGGGGCTTTCCCTGGCCCTCGGTGGGGGCATCGCCCGGCCGGCCGGCCGGCTCGGAGAAGGGCGGCGGGGGCACCGCTCCCCGTGCTGTCACACCGCGAGTTACCGAGGGCACGGCGTTCGTGGAGCTGTTCTGTAGTCGCTTGGCCGGGGCGGTTTTGAAGCACTTGAAAAAATAGGGTTCGGTGGGGTTTGTTGTTGGCCTGCGTCGCGATTTGTGCGCGAGGAGCGTTAAGAAACGCCAACGGACAGCGGCCGTGTGGGCGCTGGAGGCGGCGGGCCCCCATCTGCGGCCCTGTGACGGGCTTCCTGTGCTGCGGGGCACCTCGCTTCACTTCCCAACCCCGCACGGAGCAGCGCTGCCTGTTCCGCGGAGGTTGAAGCTTGAGACGCTGGCGCTTCTGAAGCGTTCTCGGGAGGTGGGTTACGATGTGCAGTGGCAACACCGGCTGTTCTGCAGTTCTGAACGCTGTAGGCACTGAAGTCTCACCTATTTGCCACATATTGTACGTCAAGTCTGTTTTAGAGGTAAATACAGCTGCTGGAGACTATGCTTCTTCGTTCAGGGCTTTGGTCGCTGAAGGCCGCTTCAGCTCAGCCTTCCTGAGCTGGGTTTGTGTGATCTGTACAGCTCTCTGAGCCCTGAGCAGCACTGCTGCCCTGGGACAGCCTGTTTTCTGCCCCTACCTCTGCTTGGAGAGGTGAGCAGGCCTTGGGCCTCGACTCACCTAGAGGTCCCATTTGGCTCTAGCTCATTGGATAATAATGCCTTTTCTGTATTAATAGCATTGTGGCATGGCATGGAATTCGTGTGTTGAGAAGTTTGGCAAGCACTAGGGCTCATGCTGAGTAGGTGGCTAGGGAGGAGAAAAGGGAAGAAGGCTTCCGCTGTTGATGTTGTTGAGAACTAAGACTTGCCCATCTTTAGAAGCTACCTGCTCACCTTGCTGAAGGAAGGCAAAGCTCAGCACTGTGCTCGTATTTTGCACCTCAACAGCAAGATGATTAAATGCTTTGTGTAATGTGAGTGCACTCTTAACTTTCCTGAGTAAGGAGAAACTCTTTGCTGATTGGGAAACCTAAATACCTAAAGACTGGACTTTAACAGATGCTTTCTTTCAGCAGCAAAACGAGTTTAGAAAGCATCTCACTGGCTTTTATTACCCTGATCGTACTGGTGCAGCTCTACGTGGAAGTGAATTGTTGTGTTGTTTCCACCATAAAAAATAATGTAAATATCAGTGGAATCGTTAGAGTAACTGGTTTATTTTGTGGCCCTGGAATCAGTTATTGTAATACAGCTGAGTGGGGTAAATAAACTGCGGTGCATGGGAGAAAAGAGAGGAAAACAGTGACGTGATAAAGGAATTATTCAAATCTCTTTTTCGTATCAGAAGAGATGTCACTTGAACTTCAAAATTGCTTGTGTGGGACATTAGATTTCACTTCAAATGCAAAATTACGCAGCGAGGTTTTCTGTTGGTTTTGTTTTGGTTAGTTTTTTTTTTATGTGTGTTTTTTGTTTTTCCCTATTGTATGTTACATCTCTGTATGAGAAAGAAAGTGAAGCAGCCTGCTGCCTGGCACGCGTGCCAGCTGGAGGGCTCAGTACCTCTCAAGTATGGGTGCATAAATGCACAATTAAGGAGTGCGTGGTGTTGTTAATGTATTTTGTTCAAGTTTTTGCTTTCTATACATTGGAAATAATGAAGCACGCAGGTCTGAGGCAGAGCTGGCGCTAGAGCTTTTATTTTTTGATGTGGTTTTGTTGTCAGTTAGCTAGCTCTTCCTCAAGTCTTAGGTAATTACCATTTGTTTGCAGTATATATATTACGCCATCTAAAACCAGTTTTAATAAAGCTTAAGAGCAAATAATTGCTGATCAAGTTGAAGTGAAAACTATTCTTAATACAAAAACAAGTCAGCATAACCATAATACAGATGCAAGGTGACATAAGTCAGAAAATTCTGAAGTACTTATATGTGACTCATGTAAGTGTGTGTTTTGGTGTTCTGTTTCCCCTCAAGAGAATGTAAATCTAGGCTTTAAAAGTAACCTTGCTGTGAAAGCACGTCAAGGAGCACAACTTCACATATTGAGAGGAGGCACCTAGAAGGGCTTTGATTCCATAGTTTCCTCTGCAATCTTTAAGGAAACGCAGTCCTGATTTCCAGGAGGAAAACCTTCCATTCTGTGCTGTTTGTAGGTGTAAGAGGAGGGCAGACAAGGAGAATCTTTGCTAGACCTTACAGCAGGCAAACGCAAACGTGGCACTGAAATCCTATGGTAAAGGAGGTGTTCTGTGTCAAGATCATAAACGAATGTTGGTTAAGACTACATCAGTATTGCTAACGAGTTCAAGGCTTGGAGTTCTGACAAACCAGTTTATGGCATATCATTCAACTCGTGGCCAGTTTTGAATCGAATAATGAATCTAGTGCTTCAGGAGCTGCCCTTGCAGCATAACTGCTGATACTAAAATTCTTCAGATAATGAAGCTGTTACGTAAGAGTGTAGTAACTGCAAAGGCATTTTTTCTACATTGAATCCAAGTTTAGGAAGAGTAGTTTCACACGCAGATGTAAGAACATTATGTTTAGGAAATAAGTCCTTTGCAGGGGCATAAGGATTTGATAAGAGCAGGGGCAAGTGAACTGGGGGAAACTGTCCTCTTCTGCTCACCATTCTCTGCCTGGGGGAAGCACTGGCACCCAGGGCATGCAGCCTGGCTCTTACCCTGTGATTCTCAGGACAAAGATTGTTTGGATGGAAGGCTTTTAGAGTGGTGTAGGGTTGTTGATACAGTAGTGTGCGTGACAGCTGGGAGAAAAGGCTCTGTTCTTGTTGCTAGAGATTACTTACACCATTATTAAATAATTCAAATGGGATTTTCTGTACTCGGAGCTTTGTGCCCTGAAGTGCTTTTTGAAGACAAAAATGAGGGAAAGTTGTGAAGTGAGGCTCTGAGCTCTTGGGCAACCAATGGCTTTCTAGGTGGCAGTGCTGGAGTTGATCTGGTGTAAATATTAATTGTGTATTCAGAAACCTTAATCTGACAAAACAGATTTAAGAGGGAAAAGAAAATTTAGCATGAGAAGGTACCTCTAACCTGAAATGAAATAACTGGTGGGCTCTCATGAAGCAATCCTGTTGGTATGCTAAGAAAAGTCAATGTTCTTTTTCTCTCATTGCTTTCGTAGTTTAGAGAATATGTTTTTGGTTTGATCTCAGTTATGTTTTGTTGCTTTTGTGTTTAGTGACAGATTTAACTTTATGGTTGGTGAATGGCGTTCTATTTAATTGTGAGAACAGGTTAAACTTTGGGTACGAGATGCTTCGTGTCCAGCCAATGTTCTGCAGGTGTGTATCTCAGAAGATAAGTGCGGTGTTTATTTGCACAGCAGAAGCAAGTCCTTACCTCATCGTGCTGTCTGACTTTGGGTTGCAGCTTCGAGTAGATGCTGTAGCTGGGGAGAACCTAGAGGAGGGTAGCAAGGGAGATGTGAGGTCTAGCAGATCAGATCTTTGGGGAAAGACTGAAAAACAGAGGGTTGTTTTTGTTTCTTTAAAGGAGTGGGAATTGTCAAATTAGATGCAAAAAAAGACTGCAAATAGTTTGTTCTCCAGACTCATGGTTATTACTGCCAGAAGTAGAGTGTTTAAATGGTGACAGAGGAGGTCATTTTGAGTTACACAGTTTTCTTTATGGCTGGGGACAGAAGCATGAAAATAGACTTTCTTAGCTAACTTATACAAGTGCCCATTAGTAGATTCTGTCAGTTGCACAGGCAAATATATTTCAGGAGTGGTGGAAGATAGTTGATCCAGGTGTAGGGAAAGCAGTGATTCAGACAGCCTCATCTTCTTCCATACACTTCTATGGTTCACTCTTGGCAGGGCAGATTGAATACTAGAATGTAACCTTGAAATACTTGAGTTTAGTGGGGATGTTAAAAAGATTCCTGCTGATGATGGTTTTTTTCCCCCCAGAAGGCAGTGGGATTAACAGCTCTGTCCTGCAGTAGTTTGTTTGATTACACAGAACTTGCTTATTAGATCAGTATATTTAGAAAAGCTTTGGTGTCTCAGGGATTGCTTTCTATCTGTGTGGATATCCACAAATTGGTTGGATACAAAGTGTGTGGCTGTATTTTTGTGAATGTGTGTTAGTACTTGAGCTCTTAGGCTTTTTCTACTTGTAGTAGTTGTTGAACTGCAAAGTGTCTCTCTTAATGTTCTAATAATATCTTTCTTGATGCTTGTTGTAGCCAGGAAAGGCAGTTCTTTTGTTGCATCCAGTTGGCCAGATGAGAGAGCTCCCCTATTCTGCTTTGCTTTGTTATTTTTTAACAAGTTTATAGCTCAGTTTTATTAATTGTCGCACCGATAGAAAAGTTGCATGAAAGATTTGAGGGTGAATTTTGCTTAGGAGGGAATAGGATTTTGTATGTACTTGCAAAAGAGATAAAAGAGGGTTTCACAGTATGAAATGGATAGTTAAAGTCCAGCCTTACGTAGAACCTACAGGTTTTTCTCAGAGATACTTTTTGAATTTTTATGTAGCACGTTTCAATCTGAACAACCTGCTTGAAGAGCAGCAGTACAGTAGAAATGCCCTGTCAGAACGGTACTCCTGGATGACTAACGCTGCTCCCTGTGGCTGTGGTACATCAGGCAGTGCCCTGCCACCGAGAGGGGCACGCGTGGCCATTTTGTGTGCCTCCTGCCGTGTGCTCAGCCAGATCCGTGCTGTGCCACATGAGCACCAC